TAGTTGTATCTTTTAACTGGTTTGGTACATACTTTGCCCTGAGGAAGTTATTGGCTGATTTTATTAATACTGGATGCAACTGTTCTGCATTTCCTTTCAGGAAGAGAGTGGTATCATTCTTCTTGTGGCTCTGTTGTTTTTCAGGATTTCTTGAGCTCTCGTGTGTTGGGGACAAACTTACTGTGAGTCATAGGACAGTTGATAGAATCTGACTGCAACGCTTTCTTTCTGAGCATCATATGTCATCAGATGATCTTCTCGTGAAGGTCATTGGCAGATTTTTACTGTCGTTCGCACCCAGATCTTGAGTCTGGACTTTGAGCTATGGGCTTCTTCAGCTAACTCAATATATAGGCCTTTTGATTGTGATTCTGTGTGTTTGTTGTAGAGGACTGGAAGTTAATTTTCTCTCTTCCATTGTGTGTCTGCAGTCTTGATCCTGTTGGAGGGCTTTAGGTGTTTCCTGCTCCTGTACACTATAACCAGAGCACGAGTCTGGCCGAGGCACAGAGCCCCGTTATACTAATGGGCTCTTGAGGATAATAAGCAAATACACAGAATAAGAAAACTTTACAGGACTGGGTCCTCTGTATCTCAAGCAGAGTGCCACACCTGGGTTAAACTTGGACGGATGGGATCACTCAAGAGTGTGACCTCCCTTTCACTATTTTGAAATGTTTTGTTCAGGGCTACAAGAGGCTGTAGTAGAGTCTACTTCTTCAGGGTCATGTGGAGTATTTTTCTGGTGAGAAGGCTCACCTAGGATCATCTAGGGATGAAAAGTATATTTGAAATGAAAAGTAAATTTGAAATATCAGAGAATGCTGTACCCTGTCTTGAGACAGCTCTGTGGTGTCGTACCACGCTTGTTTGCAAAGAGGGAGTGTACATACCAAGTAGATTGAATGACTTCCCAAGTGAGAAAAACTTGAGTTTTGTCTAGCCAAAGGGTTTATTTATAATTACAGAAGCAACATCAATAAGTAATTGAGGATTTTTCCTAAGCCCACAAGCCATATAAAATATCTTTCAAGTGCTTCATCTCCCCTCCTGTGTGCTTGCTCAGCTCCTAGTGACATTTTTCTATCAACTTCTGCTGCCCTCGGGCCATCCTCTCCTTCTCACAGATTTTACCTATTAAAGAGGCTTATCTCTGTTCACGATGAGAGAAAGGCACACTGTCAGAGAACTGGGTGAGAACTGTAGAGGGGTCTGATTATCCTCTTGTTTATAGCAATATAGTGTAACTCCCTGGGCTTCGCTGGGGTTGTTTCTTCTGCTGTTTCTGTGTGTGTGAAGGGAATCGGAAGGAAATCACTCTCCAATAGAGGCAAGCCTTGATGACAACGAATGAATATATTTTAATTCTTGGATATCCCAAGAGGTGTTATTAATCTATATTTCAGCTAGTGCAAATTGTTAGACTTCTCTGACAGCTGTAAGAGCCCATTTCTATTTTTCTCCCCTCCTCTTTCCTGTTGTAAGCTTTTATTTGTGGAAATTCAGGGACTGGCCAGGATTCTCTTTGACCAGGACATGACAGGCCACAGGTACGTGTGAACTTTGTCAGTGTGCTTACTTCTGTTTGCTTTGAAAATAGGAACACAATCAGTTAGCTAATTCAATTGGCATCCTGCTGGGTACAACATTAACTATTGTATGTGGTCCCATTGCAACACAACATGCATTAGTACTAAGAATGTGTAAATACAGGCCCCAGGTTTCAGCCTGTTCTGTGTCTAATCATACAAAATTCCGCTCTCAGTGGAAGAGAAAAGCAGCACAGCGTTAGGAACAGATACCATGTGCACTGCAGGGTCTTAGGAGACGCTGGAAGAAAACGTGTGAGACCAGTAGCAGATGAAACCGATTTGTCTCAAAACGCAGGGTGTGGGAGGTCTGTATGTTGGGTTTTTTTAAAATCTTTTGTAGTTTGCAGTAGCTGTACAGGAAGGCAGTTTCTACGCTGTTAGCTCCTGGCGCTCCCCATCCCTACTCCCATGGCAACCACAGACGCTTCAGCATCTTTTTCCCTGACAGGCACAAGGCAGGGGCAGGCTTCAGCTCCTTCGCCCTGCCTGCAGCACCCTGCCTGCAGCGCTTCAGGGTGGAGCCCGGGATGCAGAAAGGAGCTTCACGTGAAGGAGGGGACGCGTGTTACTTTCTGGGTCTGGTGGTGTAGTCGGGTGGGATCTCCGTGCTAATACAGCGCTTTGTGTCTTAGATGTCCCTAATAGGATCAGCGCCGTGCTGTGCCAAGTGGCTGCCGTGAGGTAGGAGCTACGGCACAATTCTCACTGGGAGGTAGGAGCTGATTAACAAGAAGTGCTGTCAAATGGTTGCTGGTGGCACCAGGTGTTTCATGAGCTTGCCTCTCAGGCTCCTTGGTTTTGGTGTGGCTTTAGTCCCTGGCAGGAATTTTAACTAATAAATCCATTATAGTAGAGTCTGCTTTTGGATCCCCCCCCATTTTCATCTGCGGACTATGATTTGCAGTTGCTACCACCTTTTCAGGGAAATTGTCATTCTGAACAACTCCTGAGCTGAAAGTAGGAATATTAGCCTTACCTAGCTTCCAGAACACAGCTTAAAAATAAGGACTTCATTATTGAAAATGTTGTATCTGTTTGGGCCATGATGTCATCTTCTCACCTACGTCTTATTTTGCTTGCTGCTCTGAAACGAGGAGTTTGTGCTTCCATTCACCCTACCATTTTGGTTTTAATCAGGTGCTGTAGCA